CGGTGGGTTTTCAGAGGCAGTTAGTTAATTACATGGGAGGATTAGACTAGAGACTTGAACTGGTTTTCATGGGGACAGTAAAATAAAACCAGCTTTTTTCCAACAAGAGGAAACCAGTTTTGACTGATTTGCCATTGAGAGGTTCTAGAATTAGAATTTTATCAGCTACAGAATATTTAAAGCAAGAGATCGTTGGGTGTTTTGGTGGGTTTTTTTAAAGTATGCTATTGTGAAGGAAAGGAATTCTGGTTGCCTAATGGTTAAGGGGTTGTGCTGCCAAACCAAAGACAGGCAGATCAAGTCCAGCAGCCACTGAGTAAGAAAGATGGGTAATCTCCCATGTCATTCTCTGAAAACCCACTGGAGGATCAGCTCCAACCCAAAGGCAATGAGTGAGTAAATCATTGGCAGTGATACATTAAAATTAACATTTCTATTTTCTCAGTCTTTTCCAAGTTTATCAAGTTAAATAAGATGCCTCTAGACAAGGATAACAAGTCTGATTAAAGTGATTTGGTAAGAAATCATTTTGCAAGGCAGATGGTTCCCAGACCATTCCTTTCAGGAAAATTAGAGGGTGACCTAACCAACCTGTCAGTTGAGTTATCATTAAAATTGTTTATGGCATGTCAGAATTTTTGCATACCCTTCTGAAGGAGTTCAAAGAATTTAATGGCAATAACAACAAAACCCCTGTTACCACCTATTTAGATGCACAATACTTTCAGCTTTTACATTTAAAAAATAAAAGTAGGAACTGGAATGACAGTGTACCCTATCCCATGCTAAGAATACAATTTTTTTTTCAAAATAACTGAGGTATCATCTCACCCCAGTAAGAATAGCAAAATTTAACAGAACAGCAAACATCAAATGCTGGCGAGGTTGTGGAGAAACTGGAACCCTTATTCACTGTTGGTGGGAGTGTAAAATGGTGCAACCACTATGGAAGGCTGCATGGTGCTTTCTCAAAAAGTTGCAAATAGAGATACCAGTTGACCCAGCAATTATACTACTGGGAATTTACCCTAAAGAAACCATAGCTGCCACCCAGCAGATATGTGCACACCCATGTTTATTGCAGTTTTGTTCGCAATAGCAAAGAGCTGGAAACCTAAGTGCCCATCAATGAATGGTTAGGGAAGCACAATTTAATACTATGCAGCATTGAACAAGGAACTCATGAAATATACAAAATGGGTGACCCTAGAGAACATTATGCTGAGTGAAATATCTCAGTCACAAAAGGACAATTACTGCACTGTTGTAAAACAGGACTGACATCGGGGTTGAGGCAAGACAGAGAAGGAGGGGAAGAATGATGTATACTGCACTAAAATAGATGAGGGAGAGAACGGTTTAAAAGGGATTTATGAATGGATATTATTGTCATGACAGTTGTCCAGAATGAAGGCTGCACAGTGGAGTGGACTTGGGGGGAGAGATAGCATAACAATGAAAGAGTTCTTTTCTTTTTCAAGGAGAAGAGTGAATTGGGGGGAGGGGTGGACAGGCAGAAAAGAGTAACAATGAATGGAAACCCTAAGTCTGTAAGCCTTGATTAAAATTCATTTAAAAAATACTATTTTTTTTAACATATACATAAACTAAGGGAAAGAGCAAACTCTTAACCATAAAATATGCAGTCCCAATGAATTGTTTGATAGTTCTTTTTAAAATGTATTTTTTATTTCTTAATGCAATGACAATACAGTACAAAGAATTTAACACTTTGGAGCCTTAAGATCACAAGAAACTTCAAATCTTTTTGTTGCAGGCAAGTGTGGTAGTCTTTAATAAAAGCATAAAATCTATTCCAATAGGCTATGCTTGCATAAGGAAGCCCTGGTATTGTGTTGGGCTGCCAACTGAAAGCTCAGCTGTTCGAATCCACCGACCACTCCTTAGGGAGTTCTAGTGGCCTAGTAGGAAGGAGCTGCACTGCAATCCAGAGGCACACAGTTCAAATCCAGCAGCTGCTCCAGTGGAGAGAAGGATGGGCAATCTCCTTCTGTGCCATCTACTTAGTGGAGGGTCAGCTATGGGTCGGTTCTGACTCAGTGGCACACAACAACAAGAAACCACTCCATGGGAGAAAGATGAACAATCTGTAAAGATTTACAGCCATGGAAACAGGTGGAGAATCGCTGTACTTCAGAATCTATGACATTGGGTTTGATTTTGGAAAAGTTACATAAGGGAACAGAAATGGGAGCTCAAGAAGTAAAAAAGCAGCAGTATGAAAGGTCCTGTTATTAACAAGAGGAAATGTGTATTTCAAAAATAGATGATGGAAGGCATGCATTTTAACTAGAAAAAGACTGTTCTGCTGTCACTACAAGCCATTGTCACAAGAGTCGAGACAAGGATTGAAGCTCTTAAATGTGCTTTCTCCAGATCTGAGAGAAACTGCAGCATGGGTGCCTTGAAGACCGCTTCTGACATCTCAGGGTCAAGCCACACTTTTAAAGGGAGAGAAGGAAGTAGGCAAAGAGAGGAAAGCGTCCAGGGGTCTGATGAGGTTGGTTGCTCCATGACAGTGGTCAGATGTCCTGTGTCTGATGTTCGAGGGAGGTGGTTATCACGCTCCTTGCTGGTGATGCATTCTTCAAGCACTCGGTCTTTTACATCAGGATGACTGAGTTTCTGGAATAAGTCTCACCGCTAGCTAATCAGGTTGAATTGACTGGGACTTGGTGGTTTAGTTTGGGGGCAGAGGGGCACAGTGTGGAGTACATCCGAGTCATAACTATGTATGGAGTCCTCTGACTTGGCTCTGCCCATGAGTGTTCTTGAGACCTTGTAGAAGGAGGTGCTTGTCTGCCCCAAAGATATGAGACCTGAACTGATTCTGCACCTAACTAGACAGCCTTGTAAAGAGCCCTGGGCTGTAAGTTAGGACACTGGATCCTAGTCACTCTACTTCACAATCCTAGGGGAAACCCTTCCTCTCTCAGAGGCTCAGTTTCTTCAAGGGGTATTGGAACATTTGCTTTCAGGAAAAAGAAGACCAAGGTTTGGAGAATGGAGAGAGAGGAGAGCTGTATTCACAGCACTGAAGGGTAGAGTGGAGGCCCCTGCAGCTGCTTTACCTCCAGCAGGAACCTCACCCCTCCCCTCCTGTAGCAGCAGCCCATGCCCGGTTCTTCCCCTAAGAACTCCCTGCAGCCCTCTCCCTTGCAGGCTGCTCATTTTCTCACACTGAACAAGCTCAGGGTCAGGAGTGGGGAGGTCACCAGCCTTCCTGCCACAGAAGCCATATCTACTCCCATTTCCTCTCCACTCTGTTTAAGCCATACCTTGGACGGTGCACACCTTCATGTGATTGTTGTTATGTGTCATCAAGTCACTTGGGACTCCTAGCAACCCTGTGCACAATAGCTATGAATCCTGCCCTATTCTGAGCCAATCTCACTGCCCCCATTACCCAAGTCACTGTGTCAACCCGTCTAACTCATCCAGGGTTTTCCTCTCTTGTGCTGTCCCTCCCCTCTTCCAAGAATGATGTCCTTCTCCAAGGACCTGTCCCCCCTGGCAATATACCTAAAGCATGTGAGACATACTTTTTCCCCTCCAAGGAACAACTTGGTTTCACCCTCTCTAGGACAGAAGTGTTTATTCTCATGGCAACCCATGATATGTTCAATACTCTCCTCCAGCTCCACAACTCAAAGGCATCAATAATTCTTCTGTCGTTCTTATTCATTGTCCAGCTCTCTGATGCATAGCAAGTGATTGCAAAGACCATGGCCACCTTATTCAAGTCTTTGCAGTATGCTCCCGGCCTATTCACTCAATTTACCAGCCTAATCTTAGTCTCTATCGCACATCGGGGTTCATTATCCCTTGACCTTGTGTCCATTTAAGCCAGGCTTTTCCATGACATCAGGAAGACAGGCATTGAATTCCCAAACTTCTGTTTCATTTGCCCCACTATTGCCACCACACTAAGGTTTTTCATCCATTTACTTTCCCTCATCTACCAGCCCCTTTTGGCTTCATGTCACTCCCTCTCTGGGTTTAATGGCACAGTCTTCAACTATGTACTTTTAACTCAACTCCTTAAAATCACATGACTTCTCAGCCCTGGACAAGGCAGACTGGTGACTGTTGTGGACTGCTGCGGAAAAGTATACAGCCTAGAAGACTGAGCCCCCCCCCCCCCCCCCCGTTCAATGACCACACACCTCCACTGGGGCCCTTACTCCTGCAATCCTTCCATTCACCTCAGAGCCACATACTTGATGTTTCTCTTGTCTGGGTAACCACTTTCCAGGTCCCAGAATCTTTTCACATATCCCTCACATTAGTCCTCTTTTTATTAACTAATGTTGGCATCTTCATTTCACACTTAAAAGTCTTCCTGGACCCCATGATTAGGGTCAGGGATCTTGTTCCGTGATGCCATAGCGAGTTACAACGCATTGTCCAGCCCACCCTAGTTTGTGACACCTTCACAGGTTTGGGAGCTCCATTTCTGTCAACTCCCTTAACTAGTAGACTCAGTAAATGCTAAAGGGGATTGCAGCGCAGCTTCTTGCCACTAGGCCACCAGAGCTCCCTCGGTAAATTCTAAATGAAGTGCATGAAGGAAGTAATGAGATTACGCTGGACAGTCGCTGCTTTGCAACAGAGCACGGACTACTTCGGAGTGCAGCAGACCACCCGGACGACCCTGCATCTCGGCTAACTCGCAACTCGCCGCTGTCCTGCAAGCTAACGACGTGGCCGGCGAGAGCCCGCCTCTGCCCCATTGGCGCTGCTAGTAGCCAATGGAAAGTGCTTATGGGAAAGTCTTCGGTATACGTCACGTAGGACGAACCAATGGCTGAGCCCGGCGGCGCATCCTGCCCCCTCCACTTTGCCTCCAGCCAATGTGTGCTGGCTACGTAGTCCTCTGGGGATGGCGCGGTCGCTCGGCATGCTGCCCGGGTAGTCCGCGGGTCCTTCGTCCCACGTCGGCGGCTTCAGGTGAACTTCACTGGTGCAAAGAACGGAAGATGGGGATTCTGAGCGCCAGGCGCGGCCTGGAGCTGCTGCTGGGCCTCTACTTTCTCTCCCACATCCCCATCACTCTGCTCATAGACTTGCAGGCGTTGCTGCCACGCGAACTCTACCCAGTCGAGGTGAGGGGCGACTTGATGGGTCCCATGGTTGTGCCCTTGCTTCCCGCCCCTATTCAGCTTTCACCCACTCTGGGTTCTGTTCTGACCTGCCTTGCCACTTCCACCCCACCTTCCCCTCGCCTGCCTGGGTTCCTGGGGATACGCAGGACTTCTCTTTACGCTTCAACCCTCTCCTTTCCCCTTCTCGATCCCAGCCCCTTCTCCCAAGCAGCAAGGGGCAAAGATTTGGCTAACTTTTAAGGACTCGCATTGGCCAGTTGTTAGTGTTTGAAAAATGTAGCTAAAATGAAGCAGGATTTAAATCACGTGCTGGATTTAAGGTGGAGGGTTTTTCTTTTGGAAGGATTTTTAAATCCTAATCTAATAACCAGTAATCCAAGTAGATTTGCTGTTCTTTGGTACCGTGGAGTCTCTTCCAACGCATACGTGACCCTGTGTACAAGAGAACAAAACCCTGCCCAGTCGGGACCATCACAGTTACTGCTAGCCACTGTTGCTCATTGTTAAAGCCACTGTCCAGCCATCTGGTTGAATTTCTCTTCTTTCCTGCTCACCCTACACTAAGTCTAAGAAGTTCAAAGATAGATTTGTTCATTCTTCTGGTAGACCGTTAAACATGGTTCACCACCACCACAATTAAAAGGCATCTTGATCTTCCTTACTCATCACTCAGCTTTTACATGCAGAGGAGGCAACTGAAAATGCCATGGTTTGGATCAATTAGTCCGCAAAGTGGCATCCTTGCTCTTTGGCACTTCTGCAGATGTTCTGCCCACTGCAATACCTCATTTGATTTCTTAAACCTCTGCTTCTTTGGCATTTATGTGAATCCAGGAAAAAGGAAATCCTTGACAGCTCCAGTCTTTTCTATGTGTTGGTTACTGGTCCAGTTTTGAGGATTTTTGTTTGATTTCTATCGAGTTGTAATCTTGTAGTCTTTAAGCTTCCTCAGTAAATGTTCCAAGTCTTCATTTTCAGCAAGATGTTACCATTTGGGCACAGCAGGTTACTAATGAGTTTTCCATGTTCTTCGCATAGCCCAGTTCCTCAGATTATTTGCTCAGTATACAGATTGAATAAATACCGTCAAAGAATACAGTCTTGGACACCCCTTTCCAGATTGGCCTAGTGCTGTGTATTTGCTTTCTTAGTAATCCAGCGCACTATGGACTATGCCACCAGAGCTCTTTAACAATATGATTTCTTAAAAAAAAAAAAGTATGATTTCTTGCCTGCTTCTTCCGTGGGCATTGGCTGCGGATCCAGGTAAAATTACATCCTTGACTACGTCAATCTTTTCTCCACTTACCATGATGTTGCTTAATAACCCAGTTGTTAGGATTTTTATTTTATGTTGAGGTTTAATCCTTACTGAAGGCTGGATATATCATCTGTAAGTCTTTCATGTTCTCTTCACTTTCTGGAAGCAAAGTTGTGTGATCTGCATATTGCAGGTTGTTACTGAACCTCTCTAAATCCTTCAACTTGGTAATTAGCGGCTAGGAGACTTTATGATTCAGCGGTTAAGCTGTTAACTAAAGACTGTTGGTTCAAATACACTCATCGGCTCCACAGAGAAAAGTAGGCCCTGGTGATCTGCTTCTGTAAAGTGGGAGTCAAATAAGCCCTGTGCATAGGGCAGTTAGTTCTGTGCTAGAACCTTTAGCATTTTACTGCATGCAGCTACTTAACAGCTGTTCAGTTTCTTTATCCTCTCTGAATATGCCATTATCTTAAGTCTGTCTTGGTAAGTACTCAAGATACATTTAAAATGCACCCAACATTATCAAGACTATTTGAATTTACTTAACCTGATTTAGTGAAATTCTGTTAGCTTTTAAAAAAAAATAATAAAATGCAGGCATAATTGTAAACAGGCAAAGGCCAGTGCAGACAAAATATGCATTGTACATGTGAGACTGGAAATTTTTTAAAGGCCTTAATTAGCACAGCATTAACAGCACAGGGATGGGGGCAGAGCAGGTTTTAGAGTGGATAACTTGTGTGTCTATTGAATTTTTTTTTCAGTTGTGATAGAAATATAAATATATATATATATAATATTTGCTATTTCAACCTTAACTCATAAATAAAATTTATTGGCATTATATTTATCACATTATTAAATCATGACCATTATTCATTTTCATTTTTTTATCACCTTTAATAAAGGCTGAGCATCCTCTAAACAATGACTCCTCCTTTCCCCTCTCTGCTTGTCCGCCCCTAGGAAACACTAAAAATTTGCCTGTTTTGGATAAACCTCAACTTAATGCCATCGAGTCAGAGCCAACTCATAGCTGATTCTCCAGCAAGTTTTTAGAGGCTGCAGATCCCATGGGAGAAGCTTACCCATCTATTTCACAAAGAACAGCTGGTGGATTTGAACTGACAGTCTTGGGGTTGATAGCACAACTCCCTATCCACTAGGCCCCTGGAGGTCCCTAATTTTGTTTAAGTAGAATCATTCAGTGTTTCTCCTTTTATGTTTTGCTTATTTCAGCTTTCTTTTTAAAGTTTATCCATGTTATAGAAAATATTCAGACATCATTTCTGTGTATGTTGTTGTTGTTAGGAGCCATCAAGTAGAATATGGCTCAAATAATAATAATAGTTGTTGTTATTATTATTAATGGATAAGCAGCAAAGCCATCACTCCTAACCTTACAGCTTTAGGTTTATGTAGATAGCACTTTTTATTCATTCATCTGTGTATGTAGATAGCATTATTTATCTCTTCATCTGTTGAGAGATAATTTGCCCATTTTTACTTTTTGGCTATTGTGAATAATGCTGCAGTAAACATCAGTTTACAAGTATTCTGTTTACTTTTCAGTTTTCACTTCTTCTGAGTATACCTGGCAGTAGAGTTGCTGGATCATATCATGGTCTGTAGTTCAACTTTTAGAGGAAGCACCAATATCGTACCATAACACCAGCAATAGTTGAGGGTTTTTATGTCCTCACAGCCTCACCAATACCTGTTGTTTAATGCACAGTTTTTTTGGCCTCCATTCATTTTCTCTTACTATGCATTCTTGATGCTGTAAGATTAGGAATATTGAATTTGTTGCTTATCAGGGAGAAAATAATAGTAATAATAATAAAAACTTGAGTTATCCTAACATTTGTTGTCTTTTTCCTCCCTAAGTAGAAAGAATTATTCCTCCTAGAACTTAAAAAGCTTGTAAGAAATCACATAGCTAGTCAAGCTAAATTTTCAAATTAAATCATTTTCTTTGTTTGAGCTAAATCAATCCTTGGAAAAATTCTCACTGTATTATGAAACAAGAGTTTAACTTGGATTAAAACATGAAAAGGGAAAACATTTTATATTGCCATTTGCCATGGGTAGCATTGTTGTTAGGTGCCATTGAGTAGATTCTGACTCATACCAACCCTGTGTACAATAGCTCTGAACCCTGTTCTGTCCTGAGCCAATCCGATCATCTTTGACACACCTACCCCCACTGTCATGAGTCACTGAATCAAACCATCTCATCCAGGGTCTTCCCTTATTGTGCTGCCCCTCTACCCTTCCAGGCATGATGTCCCTCTCTAAGGACTGGTCCCTCCTTGCAACATGCCCAAAGTATGTCAGGAGCTTCAAAATCCTTGCTTCACCCTGTCCAGGACAGACCTGTTTATTTCTTAGGAGTCCATAGTATATTCAATACTCTTTTCCAGCACCACAACTCAAAGGCATCAATTCTTCTGTCATACTTGGTCTTTGTCCAGTAATTGTGAAATAGTAATTGTGAGCACTATGGCCTGAGCAGGTGCACCTTAGTCCCTAGACTGACATCTCAGTCTTTTCACTATCATGCCACCAGTTGGCCCAGTTGTGAGAATCTTTGCTTTCTTGATGTTGAGCTTCAATCCATGTTGAAGGCTGCAGTCCTTGACCTTCTGGAGCAAATGCCTCAGGTCCTCCTCACTTTCAGCAAGCAAGGTTGTATCATCTGCATAATACAGGTAGTTGATGAATCTTCCTCCAATCCTGATGCCACATTCCTCCTCATAGAGCTCAGCCTCCTGAATGATCGATCTGTCGATCTGTTCCACATATAGATTGAAAAGTTATGCAGGGAGGATGCATCCCTGGCATACACCTTTCCTGATTTTGAACCATGTGGTGTTTCCTTGCTCTGTTCTGAGAATAGCCTCCTGGTCCAAGGATAGGTTTCACATAAGCACAATCAAATATTCTGGGATTCCCATTCTTCTCAAGGTTAGTGACTGTTGTGATCCACACAGTCAAATGCCTTTGCATAGTCAGTGAAACACAGATAGACATTCCTCTGGTACTCCCTGCTTTCAGCTATGATCCATTTAACATTGGCTATAATGTCATAGTGCCACAGCCTCTTCTAAACCCAGCCTGCACATCTGGCACATTCTCTGTTGATATGCTGTTCCAGTAATTTTGGGATCATTTCTAGCAGGATCTTGCTTGCATGTGATATTGTTATTGTTCGATAATTTCCACAATCTGTCGGGTCACCTTTTTTTGGAATTGACATAAATATGGATCTCTTCCAGTCACTTGGCCAGTTTTCCTGGACACACTCACCAGGCACATCCCGGTGAATGTGTCCAGGGTAGCATGTGTTTGTTGAAATTGGTCAGTTGGCATGCTGTCAATTTTGGGGGCCTTGTTGTTTTTTTTTGCAATTCCTTCAGAGCAGCTTGAACTTCCTCCTTCATCACCATAGGCTCTTCTGTTAAGATACTATCGCCTCTGCATAAATGACTTCCTCCTCTCCATGAGACCAGAACTGGATTGTTGTGTTGTGTGTCATCTGGATTGTTGTTATGTTGTGTGTCATCAAGTCAGAACCGACCCACTGCTAACCCTCCCGAGGATTTTCAGAAGTAGTAAATCGCACCTGAGGAGACTGCCCGTCTTCCCCCAGCAGAGCAGCCAGTGGATTCTAACGCTTTGCCACGCTACCAGAACTCCCTTGAAGAGCTGGATAGTAACCTGCTACTGAACATTT